AGGAAAACTCATCTTAACCACTGATTTCTCAATGGAAACTTTGAAAGCCAGGTGGAGTGATGCACTCCAAGTCATACAAGACCACAGCTGCCTACCTAGACTACTGTACCCTGCAAAAATCTTCCAGAGTTGATGGAGAAAAACTTTCTATGACACAAATAGGCTAAAATTCCTTTCCACCAAACCAGCCCTACAGAGGATACTGGAAGCAATACTTCAGCTGAAGAGAGGAAGTAAGCACAGCTGAGAACTCTGGAAAGAAAACAAATAAGGCTATAATTACTGGAACACAACAACAAAACAAACAACAGAATGACTACAATCAACACACTTCTCGATAATGATTATACATATTAATGATTTCAGCTCTCCCATCAGAAGACGCAGGCTAGCACAATGGATTAAGAAATAAAATCCATCTTTCTGTTGCTGACAAGAAACTCACCTTAACTTTAAAATAGACACCACACATGGGACTGACCTAGGCCCTCTACATATGTTACAGTTGCGTAGCTTGGTCTTCTTGTGGGACTCCTAACAGTGGGAACAGGGGCTGTCTCTGACTCTATTGCCTGCTTTTGGGACCCATTTCTCCTACTGGATTGCCTCTTCCAGTCTTAATAGGAAAGGAGGTGCCTAGTCTCACTGCAACTTGATAGACCATAGCTGGCTGATATCCATGGAGGTACTGCCCTTTTCTGAAGAGAAATGGAGGAGGAATGGATTGGGAGATGGGAGGGACTGGGAGGAGAAGAGGGAGGAGAAACTGCAGGTAGGATGTAAAATAAATAAACAAGCAAAAGTGGACACCATCTTAGGTGAAAGGATGGGAAAAACTACTGCAGTAAAATGAGAGCAGAAAGCAAACAGGCGTTGCTATCCTAACAATCTGACAAAAATAAACCTCAAACAGAAACTAATCAAAAGAGATAAAGGACACTCAGTCCTAATCAAGGGAACGAGGGATCAAGAAGACCTTAGAAGTCTTAAGCATGTCTGCACCAAACTGCTGCACCCAAGTCTACTTGAAAGGTACGGCTGGCATTAAAGATGTAGATTACCACCAACCCAATGATAGTAGATGACTTCAATACACCATTTCTTCCAGTATACAGGTCATCCAGAAAAAAACAAAACTACAACAGCAAAACAAAAACAAAAATAGAAACATCAGAATTAACTGACATCAGACATCAAAAAGACTTAACAAATATCTACAGAATATTCCACCCAAACACCAAACACCATAAATTCTATTCAGGAGACCATAGAACCATCTCTAAAATAAACCACATCCTAGAACACAAAAACCTTAACAGAAAAATAGACCATGATTTGACCATAATGCAATAAAACTTAATAGTAAACAAATTTCTAGTAAGTACACAAACTCATGGAGATTGACCAACTCATTGAATAATGAATGGGTCAAGAAGAATCAAGACAGTGGTTTTTTTTTAATCTTGGAAATAAAAGAAATTTAAATGCAACACAACAAAAACTTTGTGATATATTAAAAAGGTCCTATGTGGGAAATTTATAACTCTTAAGAACCTTCATTAAAAAATCAGAAAGAGCACAAATAAATGGTTTTTGATACAACTCAAGAATCTGGAAAAACAAGAACAAATCAAACCCAGTAAATGGCAAAAGATAATAAAAATAAGAGGAGAAATTAATGAAATAGAAACAAACAGTTCAAATAATCAACAAATGTAAGAGCTGGTTCTTTGAGGAAATAAACAAGAATGACAGATCCTTGGCTCAACTAACCAGAACAGAGCCACTATCCCTGGTGAACATATGTGATGGCTAGTTTTTATGTCAGTTGACACAAGGCCAAAGTCATTTGGAAGGAGAGAACCTCAGCTGAGAGAGTACCCACCAGATCGGCCTGTGGACAAGCCTGTTGTGCATTTCCTTATTGATGATTGATAGAGGAGGGCCCAGCTCACTGTAGACAGTGCTATCCCTCGGCCCATGGTCCTGGATGCCATAAGAAAAGGGGATTTGGGTCATGGTGTTTTATCACAGCAATAAAATTAGCAACTAAGACATCTAGATGCAGAAATCCTCAATAAAATATTTGCAAACCATATATAGGCACATATCAAAAGATCATGATCAAGTTGGCTTTATCCCAGAGATTCAGGGATGGTTCAAAATAAATAAGTCAATAAATATAAGAAATTATACAAATAGACTTAATTGATGCAGAAAAAGCATTTGACGTAATCCAACAACACTTTATGATAAAGGCTCTAAAGGGAGTAGGACTGGAGGGAGCATACAATAAAGCCTGTATATGGTATATGACAGATGCAGCCAGCGTTATCCTATGTGGAGAAAAACACAAAGTGAGCCTATTGAAAGTCTGGAATGAGACAGGATTGTCCAGTATCCCATTTCTTTTCAATATAGTGCTTGAAGCACAAGCTATAGCAATAACACAAGGGAATTAAAGAGCTACAAATATGAAAAGAAGGCGGACTACCTGTTTGCAGATGATAGGATGTTATCCCCAAGAGATCCCTACAGTTCCACCAGAAAACTAGAACAACCAACGGTTTCAGCAATGTAGCAATGCACTTTAGAAGAAACGGTAGCTTTTCTCTATACCAACAGCAAACACACCGAGAAAGAGATGGTGGACACACTGCTATTCACGCCAGCCTCAAAGGGAAAAAATATGTAGGAATAAACCCAACCAAGAAGGCGCAAGACCTCTACAATGAAATCTTAATCTCTGAAGGAAGGCACTAGACGATGGAAAAACCTGTGAGCATGGGTTGGTGGAATTAATATTGTAAAAATGACAATTCCACCAAAAGCCATTTGCAGACTCAGTGTAAGCACAATCAAAATGTCTATCTCATTCTCACAAAAATAGAAAGAAAAAAAAATCCTAAAATTTACTTGGAACAAGAAACGACCCAGGATAGCCAAAGCAGTCTTGAGAAAAGAAAAATACGGGAGTGATTACCATTCCAGATTTTAAGATATATTACAGAGCCATAGTAATAAAAAAAAATGGTACTGGCACCAAAGACATGTAAACCACTGAACCAAAAGAGAAGACTCAAACGTGAGTACACGTGACTACAGGTGTCTGATATTTGATCAAGATACAAAACATGCACTAGAGAAAAGGCAGCATCTTCAACAAAAGTGCTGGGAAAATGTGAGTGTGCACTTGCAGAAGAATGAATTACACCTTATCAATCACCTTGTACAAAACTCACTGCAACAGGCTGAAGACCTCATGTGAAACCTGAATTACTGAGACCACTAGAAGAAAGCAGACAGTACCCTATGAGATATAGTTACAGGAAAGGACTTTCTGAACAGGACTCCATTTGTCCAGAAATCAAGGCCAACAATTGACAAGTAGGGCCTCATAAAACTAAAAGGCTTCTTCACAGCAAAGGAAACAATTATTTGAGGAGAATGGGAGAGAATCTTTGCTAGTTATTCATCTGATAGAGGAGTAATATCCAGAATATACAAAGAACTAAAAAACAGAGTCAAAAAAACAAACAACACATTTAAACAGTGGGCTATGGATCTGAACAGAGAGCTCTCAAATGAAGTCACAAAAATGGCCAATAAATACCTCAAATATTCTTCATCGTCCTTAGCAATTAGAGAAAGGCAAACCTAAATAACCGAGACTTCGTCTTACCCCAGTCAGAGCATCTAAGACCAACAAAACAACTAACTAACAAATGCTGGAGGGACAGGTGGGGGAAAGGGAAACTTCATTTACTGTTGATAGAAATGCAAATTGGTGCAGCCATTCAGAAAATCGATATGGAGAATCACAAAAAATTAAAATAAATCCACCATACAACCCAGCTCTAACACTCCTTGACAAATACCTAAAGGACTTGACATCCTACCCATTCGCTGTGGCTCTATTCACAATATCTACGGAATGTAAACAACAAAAACGTCCGTCAGCTAACAAATGGATAATGAAGATGTGGTACATATACATAATAGAATACTATATTCAGTTGTAGAGAAAAATGAAATCGTGATATTTGCAGGCAAATGGATGGAACTAGAAAAGATCATGTTGAGTGATATAATCAAGACTAGGAAAGACAAAAACCACATGTCCTCTCTCATCTGTGGTTCCTAGCTCCAAGTCTTCAGATGTGAGTTTATAGCCCAGAGTAATTAGCAGAAGCCGGGAAAGTAAAAAACCATGCCGGGTGAGCCCTAGAGAAGGGAGGAGCAGGGATACAAGTGACATAAATATTTAATTTCGAGATAACTGAAAGAGGCTTTCCACTGTAAAGGATGAAATCATGTCGTTTACAAGAAAATGGCACAGCATAATCTTCAGTGAAAAAGCCAGACTCAGAAAGGCAAATATTTCATGTGGAACTTAGATTTAAAAACAAAAACCAAATATGAAAGTACAGGGAGGGGGGCTGCCGGTAAGTAGGGAAAGGTCTGTAAGAGGGAGGAAGGCCAAGAGAACAGAACTGGGGTCGAATATTTCCAATATACAGAAAAAAATAAGAGCTAGCGTGTACTTCAGTGTTAGAATGTTGCCTGGGAAGCATTGGATCCTGGCCTTCATTCCCAGAACTGCCAAAATAGCTCATTAAAAGTAAGATTGGGGCTGGCTGTGTGGCATATGCCTTTAATCCCAACAGAGGCAGGTGGATCTCTTGTGTTCAAGACCAGCCTGGTCTACTGAGTGAGTTGTAGGCCAGTCAGAGCCACACTGTGAGATCTTGTTAAAATAATAATAGTATTTTAGAAAATGAAGATACTTTCTTTTTAACATAATGATATTAAAGTGATATAATTGCTGAAAGGTTTCAAGGAAATTTTGTAAATTTATGTTTTTAAATATTCAGAAGCTTGAAAATATTTCATATCTTCACTATACTGAGCGCTAGAGTATAGAATTCTTTCTGTAACATACCTACCCTTATTTTTTTTCTTTCTGAATCCCTTTTTCCTCTTAAAAACCTTCCACCCAGCAGACAGGCAATCGAGAAAAGGAGTGAGCAGGAGGGGAACCCCCACCCTGACTCTTCGGTGATCACCGCCTCAGATGCAGAAGGTAATGGAACTCGGGTCCCACAGAGGACAACAGGAAGCATGGTCATTTCAGGAGTTTCTGTACACTAATGATGAGAAACCCTAAGCCTTTCTAGTGAGTGGAAGACAGCTGGTGGCTGATAGAACAGAAAACGATGAATTATCTGATGAAAAAAAAAGATAGCCCTTAATGATTGTTTGAATAAATACAGGTACATATGAGGGTCTGTTAAAATGTTGATTCTAATTCAGTAGGTCTAGAATAGGACCCTTGAGTCCATGTTTCTAGCAAACTCTCATTTGACATATATGTGGTAAGCCTGGAGCTTACACTCAAGTAGTCTCACTCTCAGGATCTCTGGGAAGGTGATTTTGCTCTTGTCCAATTTAGCGGGAAAGCAGTGTACATATGTACCCAGTAAATGGGTAACAAAAGCAACCATGTAAGAGACTCCCTAAAAGAGGTACCAAGATGGTGGTGGCGCACGCCTTTAATCCCAGCACTTGGGAGGCAGAGGCAGGCGAACCTCTGAGTTCCAGGACAGCCAGGGCTACACAGAGAAACCCTGTCTCAAGGGAAAAAAAAAAAAAAGAGTGACGAAGTGACAGAGCAATCAATCACTGGCAGCCAGCATGACCAGCTTGGAAAGCAGCTGCATTTCAACATGCAGAATAAATGGTGTAAAGAGTGAAGGGGCAGAGTGTGGTGTGCCAGTGTTCTGTGTCCTCTCACCACCCTCCAGAAAGATGACTCCAGCTTGACCCACCCATTCTGTCTCTTGCTCCACTCCACGCCGCAATAGTCAGGTGTGCAGAACTGAGTGCCTTGAGGAAAGGGGATCTGTGCAGGTCACAGGTTAAGAGGACAGAGTGTAAGATCTGGGAACTTCAGGAGCAGCGTTGTGTCTCTAAAGAAGTCTGTAAAGAGCTCTGGCACATAAGTGAAACTCACCTGCCTTGCTGTGAAGATACCACTGTAAAAAAAGAATAAGCTGGGCAGGCAGATTTCTGTGAGTTCAAGGCCAGCCTGTCTACATAGTAAGTTCCAGGACAGCCAGGGCTGCACAATGAGACCCTGTCTCAAAAACATATTTTTAGAAAGGAACAATCTGGGTGTCCTCCACTTAAATGAGTGTGGACATTGAAAGTCTTGAGTCGAGAGAGCTGAGCATCCTCTTGTAATTGGCAATCTTAGACTAGTTAAAATTTGGCTATTATTTTCTCTAGTGTTTTTGCCATTTTAATTTATTTGTGATGATTTATTAGATTCTCAGTCATTCATACTGTGATCTCATTTTAGGAGGACTGAAAGAAGACTACAGGGGACAGGTAAAGTGTCTGTGAGAAACTCTGCAACCGACTTAACTCTGCATGCTGTCTGTTGGCCTACGTTAACCAGACTACATTAACAGCTTCTAGATAACTATTTAGCTGTTTATTTTTAGTAAAGCTCCCTCTGAAGTCATCAACAGTCAAAAATTAATGGGCTGGGAGCCAAGTAATACAGCAGCAATCTGTATCTGTGTTTCTATGTATGTCTGTGCATATCACTCCTTTACTAGTAGATGGCTGGAATTATTCAGAAGACTTAAAAAGACTTAGTAGATAAAATTTATCTAATACCTTTCACTTCATATTATTTTATGAGAAGTGCATATAAAATATCATTTCTGGAAAGTGATCCTAAGCCCCCCTTTGTATTCTTTGACATCCTAAATTGATCAACTCAAAAAAAAAAAAATGTCGTGTGAGGAAAAAAAACCTCATATAGTATTGTGAATTGTCCACAAAAGGCCATTGTAAGGCATCATTATGAATGATGGTTACAGTAATGGCATCATTTTGGACAAATCCTTTTCATCTCTTTAAGTCTGGAATTCATTTGTAAAACAGATACCAGTCCACATGCCCCATAGGATTGCCATAAAATTATTTTCTGAATGAGTGTGGTGGAAGTTTGTTAATTGTATGTAACTGTCCTAATAATAGTAACTATCAACATCATTACTTCAGTCTACTATTTTGCATTTTTTGTTGTTAGTCTTTGTTTTTAATTTTTAAATTCTCTCTGTAGCCCAGGGTCAGTGGAACTCACTTTGTAGCCCAGACTGGCCTCAACCTCAGGGCAATCCTCATTCCTTATCTTCCCAAGGGCTTTGATTAAAAGGACTAGATCTACTTAGTTCAGCCAACCTCTTTATAGATAATCATACCTTCATTGACATTATTTTTTAAATCTGGATTTAGTTAGGAGGAAAGCAGTCTATATTCCAATGAATATGCATGAATAGTCTACATTCACTTTGCTAAAACTTAGAGAAACTGATAAATTTTATTTATATATTTAAAATATTGCTTTGCAATTTCTCTTAGAAATGGAGCTTTACATTTGTTTATTTTGTGTGGGGGGGATATGGACAACAACATGCATGTGCCACAATGTGCATGTGGAGGTCAGAGAGCAATTTGTGAGGTTGCTCTCTCATTAATTGTGCAGATCCAGGGATCAAACTCAGGCCATCAGACTGGACAGCGTGTGCCTTTACTCACTAAACCATCTAGCTCCATATAAATATATATATAAATATATATATATATGTATGTATGTATGTGTTTGACTAGAGTTTATTTGTAGTTTGTAAACACATTTTCAATGGAGTACACTGTATACTTCGACCATATTTATTCCCTTATTTTCTCCTCTCCCCTGCAACTAGTTCTCTCCCCAGTCTTCTACTTCCACGTCATATATAGCACATAACTATGAATATACATATTATGTTTACAAATATACATCTAGATATGATTTAGAACAGGGTTATTTGTCGATGATCTCCTGTTCCATCCATTTCCCTACTAATTACATAATTTCATTCTTTTTATGGCTTACTAAAGCTCCATTGTGTATGTATAGCACACTGTAATTGGATGTTTCTCTTCTGCCTGCCTGTTCCCAAATACCTGGCAGCTGCTTCCCAAGTAATTAACTCAGAGGCTTAATATTACTTGTAAATGCTCAGCCAATAGCTCAGGCTTATTACTAACTAGCTCTTACATTTTAAATTAGTCCATATTCCTTATTTATGCTCTGTCACATGGCAGTACCTTTATTAGCATGGCACGTTCATTTTCTGGTCCCTCTGCATCTGGCTGGTGACTCTTCGCTCCACCCTTCTCCTTCCCATCATCCTTAGCTTGGCCGCCCCACCTATACTTCTTGCCTGGCTACTGGCCAATCATTGTTTTATTAAACCAATTTGAGTGACAAATCTTTACAGTATACAAGAGGATTATTCCACAGCACCACACTTTCATTATCTATTTATCTATGAATGAACACTCAGCTGGTTGCCTAACTTGGCTATTCTAAATAGTGTTTCAATTAACATGCATATTTTCTTGTAATATAACAGATTATATTCTTTTACTGCAATGAAATGACTAAGGCTATGTACTTTATAAAGAATATATTTAAGCTACAGTATGGAAGCTGAAAGTACAAGATTGGACAGTCCCATCAGTTCAGCATCTGGGAAGGTCTTCATGAACACAGCATCTCAATGGCAGGAGTGTATGTGGAGAAGACAGACCAGAGAGATTGGGGTTAGGCTTGCTGCTTTACAACATTCTCCTCTGCAAGTACAGCATAAGTTCCTGTGGAGAGCAGGCCTCCAGTGGCTTATCACCTTCATTGAGCCTCACTCTTAAAAGGTCCTACAATGTGCTAATGCTTTCATTAATCAGCCTTTAGGGGACAAACCACTTCCAAACTACAGGAATAATGATTTTTCCACATTTTTATCACCTCTTTTCCAACTTCAATTGGATATATCCAACAAAAAGATAAAATTGGAGTCATTATCACATTTTCCAGGTGCTTCTCATGGCTGACTCCAGTCTTAGTGTTCCCATAGTCGCCAGCTCGGAGTGAATAAACCTGGACACTACAACAGTACAGCTCTAGACAGGTTTCTCAACCTTGACATTTTTGCCATTTTGAGCCAAACCACTCTCCACTGGTTAATAAAAATAAATAAAAGTAGGACCTGAAAATAAAAGAATTGCTGGATACCAGGAAGGATATGCAGAGCAGAAAGAAGGTGGATGGACATGATGAACTCAGTATTCATGCATGCATATCCTACAGTGAGTTCCATTAGTTTATGTAATCAATATGTAATACTAATTATACTGTTTCAAATGGTAGGGATTTTGAATGGTTTTCCTCCTTAGCAAGCTGGTTTCTAGTACAGGAAGCTTATAAAAAGCAGAAAAATGATGCTTTTCTTTATAGTGTTTACAGCAGGGGTCATCAAACACTTCCATGAAGGGCCAGGGAGAAAACATTCAGGCTTTGTAGACTACGATGTTGTTATGGCTGCTTTACTCTGATGTCATACCAAAAAACAGCCTAAGACTATTCTTAGTTGAAGGTCCTTATGTCCTAATAAAATCATCATAAAAACATGAATTTCATGCAGTTGTTGTAAAATATGCTTTGATATTTTTGCAAGCCATTTCGAAGTGCAAAAATTCTTTTGTGGAGGAACTTGGATATCTATCTTTTTGACTTGCAGGCCTTGAAATGATGGAAGATAGATTGGATGCATATCATTAGCCATAAATTTGCTGAATCCACATTCAGAGAAAAGAGGCAGGAGGATTGCCATGAGTTTAAAGCCACCATGGGCTACGTAGTAGGACAGGTCTCAAAGTCAAGTGAATCTTTAAAGAGCTTGTAGCTTGGCTGGAAAGATGGCTCAGTAGGTTAAGACACTTGTCACCCAGCCTGAGTTCAGTCCCCGGGACTCACATAGTGAAAGGAAAGAGAGAGCTGACCCTCAAGTTGTCCTCTTATCTCTGAAAGTGCATTGCTTGTAACTTCTGGCTTGTGCCTGGTGTGGCAGTGAACATCTGTAATCCTAGCACTTGGGAGTTGGAGGCAGGAGACAGAGAAGTTTAAGACCAGCCTTGGCTACACAGTGAGTGAGTGTGAGGCCAGCAGGGACTACGGGTGGTTTCCGCCACACAAACTGTAACTTTCTTAAGACCATATGGCTAGTTTGCTCACTGTCTTGCTGTTACGAACAAGCGTGAAATCACCTAGTGTTTCCCAAACAACTAATGTAGGTGCAAGAAGGAAAATTCGTAAGTCTGCCCAGATAATATCCCAGACCTACCACCTGTCCAAAACCATGCTTATCGTTTTATCCTTGGGCTCCAGACTTGCTCTTCCTGGAAAATGGTGCTTGTTAAATCAAATGCAGTGAGAACCATTGGTAACACAGAGGAAATCTAACATAAATGACCAGACCATACAAGGAAAATTACTTCCTCAAGTGACAGTAGGTCCAAATCCAGCTGCAGCAAAGCAGCTCTTAACATGCTGTTAAGTCTACTTAGCAAAGTCTGGGTGCATGGAAGGGAAAGTGACATGGTCTCCCCCACACTGGGTGACAGCCGTAGTGCTTGGCAGGTACTTAATCATACGTAGAAATCAGTTGAGAAACCCAGTACACTCTTCTGTTGCTGTAAATTACTGCAAGAATTAACACGCACTTTGATTCAGTCAAGGATTAGCAGTGTCAGCACACAATAAAATCGAGGTCAGCCTTGCTACAACGGCAGCTTCTGTAACCAAAAGGAAAGAAACAAAGCAAAACCATCAAGTCTCCAGTTTTTATTGGGGGCTAAAACGTCATCAACCTTAAGCCAAAAGTCCTCCTTCTACAGGGTGTTTCTAGAGTAAGAAGTAATAGTAAACACAGGAAGAGTTCCTCTCTAAGAACATCCATCACAGGGTTATTTATAAAAAGAAATCAGAAACCATGTAGATTTAATTTAAAAGGAGTGGTTAAGCAATAGTATGTAATGGAATAAAACTCAGACATTAAAATCAAAGATTATGTATCCAAATCCCAGCTGATGATATGGCTTAGTGCTAGAGTATTTCCCAAGCATTAACAAGACCATGGGTTCGATCCCCAACATGACAATATGTGTATGTGTTTAAAATAATTTCATTTATTTAAACATCTGTAGAAAAATAATGAAAGCAAATATATGCTAACCATATATTTACATTTTCTAAATTGTATTTAATGAGTATCCTTTACTTTTAATAATGTGAAATTATCAAATATAAAATATCTTGCTTTGTTAATCTTCAATATATCTGCCTAAGGTAAAACAGGTACCAATCAATATCCTAAAGCAGTGGTTCTCAACCTGTGGGTTGCAACCCTTTAGGAGTTGAACAACCCTTTCACAGGGTGCCTTAAGACCACTGAAAAACACAGATATTTACATTATGGCTCATAACAGAAGCAAAATTACAGTTATGAAGTAGCAATGAAAATAATTTTATGGTTGGGAGTCACCACAACATGGGGAACTGTGTTAAAGGATTGCAACATTGAGAACATTGAGAACCACTGGCCTAAAATAAAGTTTTTAACAACCAGATGGATTTTAAAGCAAGAACTTCAGAAGAAGAAAAAAAATTTAAGGAAACCCTGGCATCACTGGAAGGAAAGAGAAGTAGATGCGGGAGGGGCCAGGGAATCAGGAAGGAAGGAAGGAAGGAGACAGAGAAAAAGGAAAGGGAAGGGAAGGATGGAAGGAACAGCTAAAGCACACAGAGCTTCTTAGGGAAGCAACCTGGCCTTCCAGGAACCAAGTGTTAATGCAGAGTCTGTGAAAGCTTTTCTCAGTCGAAAGGACTTTAATATAGAACTTAACCGCTCCCATTCATGATGCTCTTCGCACATGCTAAGCAAACATTCCACCACTAAGCTGTACGACACCCTAAAACTATTTTTAAATATCTACCTCAAAAATTATTTTAAAATAAGTGGTTTCCACTTGGATTTTAAGAACAATTCTTCGATTATGGCAGGAGCTGGTGAGGGAGCGCTCCAGTCCTACTCCCTTGACTTCTTGTTTTTGTCACTTCAATAGCAAGTAGCCTGTGACGTTTTTCAAAAAATACTCCCACTGTTTATTTCCAAGCATGATTGCCCATCCTTATCTTACCTTCAACACCTTTAATCTCAGAATTCTGTCGTGAAACCTTGTTGCTCTGTAGCTGGTAAGGTTGGAGGAGAGTCATGAAAAGAAAACTAGTGGAAGAAAGATAAGATTCTCATGGTGTTTCTCTATGGTTTCATAAAACAAAAAGGGATATAACCTTTACTGTTTTATGGCCTATTACTTTAAAAGTCACAATTAAACAAACAGTTAAAATAAAGGCAAGATTTGGAAGGACACGTGAGGTCTGGGGAGATGGCTTGGTGGATAAAATACTTGGCCAGCGAACAGGGTGACCTGAGTTCAGATCCTCGGAACCGACATAAAAGCCAAGTGGGTGTGATGGTCACATATCCTCTCACTACTTGGGAGGCAATGAGAGGGATCCCAGGGGCAAGCTGGACAGCTTGCTAATGTATTAGCCAGATTTGGTAAACTGTGAGATCAGTGAGAGACTCTGCTTTGATAATGACAGTGGGGAACACTTGGGCAAAGCACCTGCTGCCAACCTCAGACCTCCTCATGTACATGACCATGTGTGCACACCACATACACACACCCCACACACATACACCAAAGAACAAGAAGTGCATGTTCTAGGAACCTTGAAAGCACGTTGAGGCAGAGTCACAAATGACGACTGTTGCTAGAGTCCACAGATGCTCCACAGCCTCACCCTGTTCTCTGTCACCGCCCTTTTATGCCTCATGCATTAGTTATGGATTGATTTTTATAAATAGCTATGAACATTGTAGTCACTGAGTAAGGTAAACATGAAGGTCCATTTACACAAGCACAGCACATTTTTATTTCATTTCACTGTTTTGAAATACTTGAAAATCATAAAGATATGTTAAGTTGGTGTTTTACTCTGTTTGAACATGGCTTAATTATTTTTATCTGTTTACTTGCAGGACATTGGAGATGTTGGTTCTCTCAGAATGGTTCATTTTGGTTTGGTGTAAATCACTAGAAACTCCAAAAAAAAAAAAACCAAAAAAAAAAAAAAACTTGCCTTTTTCATATCTTTTATATTGCCCTGATTCAATACAAATCTCCATGTATGGATTTTAATAGAAGGAAAGCTGGTACATGCAGCACAGCATAACAATAGCAAAGTGACCCTAAATAAAAGTCCTCAACCACTTATTTTCATAATGTGTGTACTTTTTAAATGTCAGAAACTATACATCATTTGGAGCATCAGAGGTAGAACATTTAAGTCTTGTTTTCCCTCATCTTGTAAAATTTTCCTCCTTTGGGGGCTGTTGTTGGATTTTCTTTTACTCTAGCCCCACGTTGGGTGCCAAACTTTGTTGGGGTTTTTTTGCTCTTTTCTCTTTTGGGGGCCCACCACCCAGCTCCCAAATAAATCAAACATGGAGGCTTATTCTTAATTATAGATGCCCAACCTTATCTTGACTTGTTTCTTGCCAGCTTTACTTAACTGAAATTATTTCATCTACCTTTTGCCTCTGGGCTTTTTCCTTTTCTTACTTCTGTATATCTTACTTTCACTCTTATTCTGTGGTTGGCTGTGTGGCTGTGTGGCTGGACCCTAGTGTCCTCCTCTCCTTGTTCTCTTGCTCCTCCTTCTTCTCCTCCCAGATTTCTCATTCTATTTATTCTGTCTGCCTGCCAGCCCTGCCTGTCTTTTCTCCTGCATAGCCATTGGCTGTTCAGCTCTTTATTAGACCATCAAGTGTTCTGGACAGGCAAAGTAACACAGCTTCACAGAGTTAAACAAATGCAGCATAAAAGAATGCAACACATCTTTGTATCATTAAACAAATGTTCCACAGCATATGCAAATGTAACACATCTTAAAATATTATTCTACAACAGGGGGTTGTAGAGATGGCTCAGCAGTAAAGAGCACTTATCTTGCAGAGGACCCAGATTCAATTCCCAGCACCCACATGTTGGCTCATGGCTGTCCATAACTCCAATTCCAGGGAATCCAGTGCCCTCTTCAGACTGCCTCAGACACCAAGCACAGACATGTGGTGTGAGCCAAACACCCATAAATATATAATAAAATAAATCTTTACAAAAATTTCTAATCCTGGTCTTATTTATATTACTAATTTATATTACTAATAAAATATTTGTTAAGCAAAAGTTCCTGTCAGACCTACTGGAACAGACATTTCTCCATCGTGGATCCTTGCAATGAGGAACTGGTGGCGCTTGCCACAGCGAGCTGTCGTCTTCCCATGGAGGCTACTGCTTGTTCAGATTTGAGCTCCATGAGCTCAGGGCTCCTCAAAACATTGCAAAGAGAGTGCAGGTGGTACCTAGCCCTTTCTTTCCACAGTGCCACATGGAAATACGGAAATGTGACTCAGGGAATACATGGGGGGGATACTCTGTCTCCTGTGGCTGTAATATGCTATCCTTTGTCTCTGACCCCAAGTCCCACCCATCTTCTCCCAGCACCTATAAAGTGACAGCACTGTAAGTTGTGAGCATGAAAGGCCCTTCCTTGTCCTCAATACCTGCCACTAGCAGATGACACATAGTTTATAACTATAGATGTCTATGATAATATGAGTTACTGTCATCTTTCCAAGAACATGAGAGCAGGAAGGAGGTGAAAATTACGTTTTTCAGTTTGCTACTGGCCTAAAAAGTTTTGAGTTTATAATCTTTGAGCCATCCTAATGACATGTTGGATTAAATTTTTTTTACTATTTCTATTCTTTCTCTTGCAGATAATCAAAGTTGACTAATTTTTTAAGTTTATTTGTATATTTTTTTATGTGCATCAGTGTTTTCCCTACATGTATGTCTGGGTGAGGATGTTGGAACCCCTGGAACTGGAGTTACAGACACTCTTGAGCTGCCATGTGGGTGCTGGAAATTGAACGTGGGTCATCCGGAAGAGCAGCCAGTGCTTTTAGCCACTGAGCCATCTCTCCAGCCCTGAAGCTGACTAATTTTTAAAGAAAAGGTATGATTTTGCAAGGATGGCGTCATTTCCTGCAGGTACTCTAGCTGTCATTCCCACAACCTCAAGCCACATTCCTGGTGCACTATATCTTTTTGCTATTTGACCACTGTTTTCTGCAGCTATGTGAGAATGGCGGTGGTCAGTACCCTCTCCAGTTTCTCTGTCAGGCAGTTCAAACTCTATGCTAGAATGTGGTTGTGAATACATGTATTTATAGGTCCATGAATATTGTTCCTAGGGGTAAAGTTTGCTAAGTTACCCACATGAACATTAAACAAAATTTCGTTTCCCATCTTCCCAGCTGTTTCAGTTTCTTTTCTGTTGCTGTCATAAACACCATGATGGAAAGTAACTTGCGGAGGAAAGGGTTTATTTCAGCTTAGCTCTCAGGTCTCACTCCATCACTCACCATCCTGTAAGTGCAGGAACTCAAGGCAAGAACCTGGAGACAGGAACTAAGCAGAGGCCCCTTCTCAGCCTTCTCTCTTATACAACTCAGAACCATCTGCTCAGGGATGGCATTGTACCCAGCAGGCTAGGTCTTTCCACATCAATCATTAATCAAGAAAGCGCCCTACTGACCTGCTGAAAGGCCACAAGGGAGGTGTTTCTCAACTGAAGTTCCTCTTCTCTGATAACTCTAGCTTGTGTCGAGTTGACAAAAAACAAAACCAATCAAGACACCAACTTCACATGTCTCTGGAATAATTAACTCAAACATAGTAAACTAAATTTAGTCACAAGAATTTAGTGTGGGTGCTAGAGAGACGACTCGGTGGCTGAGAGACCTTGCTGCTCTTGCAGACAACCTGAGTTTCATTCCTAGTACACATCAATAAACTGAGTTGGGATTAACAAATTATAAACGTTGTTTGTTGTTTATTGAAAGACCAAGTAGCCAAAACTATGGTATTATACTTTCTTTTACTATGGTTTTAAATGTTAGTAAAGGAGTTAAAATTATACCAGTCTGGCATATTGACTGAGTTAAAGGCATTTGGAAGGGAAAAGCAGTAGCAAAATTACAGTTATGAAGTAGCAACGAAAATAATTTTATGGTTGGGGGGTCACCACAACATGAGGAACTGTATTAAAGGGTCGCAGCATTAGGAAGGTTGAGAACCACTGCTGTAGAACAAAAAGAAGTAACCATACCCAAGAGGAGTAGAGAGTAAGAAATAATCAAACTGAGGGTTGAAATCAATAAAATAGAAACAAAGAGAACAATACAAAGAATCAATGAAACAACAAGTTGGTTCTTTGAGAAAATCAACCAGATAAACCCTTATCCAAACTTACTTTTTAGTCAGGTGGAGAGAGAATATCCAAATTAACAAAATCAAAAATAAAAAGGGGGACTTAAAAACAGACACTGAGGAAATCCAGAGAATCATGAGGACATATTTTAAAAAACTATATTTCACCAAATTGGAAAATCAAAGAGAAAGATAGTTTTCTCCATAGGTACCACTTACCAAAGTTATATCAAGATCAGATAAACAATTTAAATAGACCTATAACCCCTAGTGAAATAGAAGCAGTCATCAAACTCTCCCAACCTCCCCCCCCAAAAAAAAAGCCCAGGGCCAGATGGTTTTAGCACAGAACTCAATCAGACTTTCAAAGACGAGTTAACACCAATACTCCTCATGTTATTCCACAAAAGAGAAACAAAAGGGACATGGCCACATTTTATGAGACCACAGTCACCCGGATACCAAACCACAAAAAGATCCAAGAACAAAGGAGAATTGCAGGCCAATCTCCCTCGTGAACACGGATGTAAAAATACTCAATAAAATACCTGAAAACTGAATTCCAGAACACATCAGAAAGATCATCCACCATAATCAAGTAGGCTTTATGCTAGAGATGCAGGGATGATTTATTATATGAAAATCAGTAAATGTAATCTACCATATGAACAAAAAAAAATACATGATCACCTCATTAGATGCAGAAAAGACCTTAGACAAAGTCTAACACCCCTTCATGATAAAAGTCCTAGAGAGATTAGGGATAAAAGAGACATACCTCAACGTAATAAAGGCAATTTGTATCAAGCCAATAGCTAACATCAAATTAAGTGGAGAAAAACTCAAAGCAATTCCACTAAAATCAGGAACAAAACAAGCTTGTCCACTCACTCCATAATTTTAGCAACTCCACATCCAATAGAGGACTAATACCCAAAATATATAAAGAACTTGGCCGGGCGGTGGTGGCGCACGCCTTTAATCCCAGCACTTGGGAGGCAGAGCCAGGAGGATCTCTGTGAGTTCGAGGCCAGCCTGGGCTACCAAGCAAGTTCCAGGAAAGGCGCAAAGCTACACAGGGAAACCCTGTCTCGAAAAAACCAAAAAAAAAAAAAAAAAAAAAAAAAAAAAAAAAAAGAACTCAAGGAACTAGATATCAAAAAACCAAATCCAATTAAAAATGGGGTACAGATCTAAACAGATTTCTCAATAGAGGAATCTCAAATGGCTGAGAAACACTTAGAGAAATGTTCAACAGCCTGAGCCACCAGGGAAATGCAATTCAAAACTACTTTGAGATTCCATCTTTTGCTTGTCAGAATGGCTAAAATAAAAAATGCAAGTAACAGCTCATGCTGGTAAGGATGTGGAGCAAGGGAGAATACTCCTCCATTGCTGGTGGGAGTGCAAACTTGGACAGACACTATGGTAATCAATATGGTGGCTTCTCAGATAGTTGGGAATTGATCTACTTCAAGATCCAACTATACCATTCTTAGGATAGATCCAAAGGACTCTCCAGCCTACTACAAGGATACTTGCTCAAGCATTTTCATTGAAGCTTTATTCATAATAACCAGAAACTGGAAACAAACTAGGTGTTCATCAACAGAAGAATGGATAAAGTATGGTACATTTACACAATAGACTTATTCAGCTGTTAAAAAAAAATGACATCATGAAATTTGCAGGCAAATGGATGGAACTAGAAAAAAGTATCCTGAGTGAGGTAATGCAAACCTAGAAAGATAAATATGGTATGTGTTCACTTACAAGTGGATATTGGCAGTAAAGTAAATGATAGCCAAGATATAACCCATAGATCTAGAGAGGTTACGTAAAGAGGAGGAGTGGGGGTGGGGAGCACATGCATGTCCTGGGTGGGGCACATAGAAGAGACTTTTGGGCAAACTGGAGGTGGGTGAGGATGAAAGGGGAGAGTCAGGTGAGGGGGATGGGTAGAAGAAGAGAGTGTGGGGAGAAGATGGTTGGAATTGGAGGGCTTTGGGAAAGGGAGTAGAAACAGTACAGTGGAAACTTCTTAGAATCTATGAAGGTGATCCTAATGATGACTCCTAGTAATGGGGCATATGGAGTCTCAACCAGCCATCTCGGATACCAGGCAAAGCTTCCAGTGGTGGGCCTGGGTTGCATTCAATTGAGTTGTTGACCAAAAGGGCCCTTTGGAAATCCCCAAGCAACCCAAGCTGTTGCTAAGACAAAGGGTTGCTCTCCACAAACTGACAGTGGGGGCCTCATTGCTGTGGACAACACCAACAGAACTCATTGACCAAGGCAAAGTTGAGCTGATGCCTACATGGAGCCTTCACCCCTGTGTTCTAGTCTCTTTGGTGAGGGAAGGTACCCTGCAGGCTACTGAAAGAGAAATGTGGAAACCAACCCAGTAACAAAACCTTTGACCTGCAGTCTGTTCTGAAATGGTGGCACAGAACTTGTGAGAATAGCCAATATCTGATTTGACTTAAGGCCCACTCCACAAGAATGAACGTGTATTAGTTTGGGTTTCTATTGCTATGAAGAGACACCATGACCACAGCAACTCCTATAAAGAAAACATTTAATTGGGATGGTTCACTTAGAGTTTCAATCAGGGACAAGAATATATCCTGATGTATTTCCTGCCTACATACCTCCTGCCCACATGTGATCAAGCACATCTGGTGCAGATGGGTCAAACATACTTGTTTAGGGAGTGAAAACATGTGACTTGTTGTCTCCCATAAACAATAGCCTTCAGCATTTCAGGAACTATCTGTCCTTGAGCAAGGGGCTTGCAGATCAGAGGCATTTTTGTTTCATGGATCTCTAAGGCATAATAATTAAAACTTAAAAATGTAACTTTGGCTCTCACATCTGGTACCAACTTCTGTCTTAGTTTGGGTTTCTATTACTGTGAGACACCATGACCATGGCAACTCTTTAAAAGAAAAAATTTAATTGGGGTGGCTAACTTAGAGTTTTAAAGGTTCATTCCATTATCATCATGATGGGGAACATGGCAGCATGCAGTTAGATGTGGTACTGGAGGAATAGCTGAGAGTCCTACATCTTGCAGGCAGCAGGAAGTCCACTGAGACACTGGGTGGTATCCTAAGTATAGGAAACCTCAAAGCCTACCCCCACAGTGACATACTTCCTCCAACAAGGCCATACCCACTCCAACAAAGCTACCTCTCCTAATAGTTCTACTCCCTATGAGATTATGGGCACCAATTACATTCAAGCCCATACCCAATACTGCTTGGGTAACCAAGAACCAGAGACTAGATAGCCCAGAGACCGAGGGTAAAGTCAAACACTACTGGTCTTTAAAAAAGTATCAATAAAATGACACCTAATGATATTCTGCTATACTCATAGATCAGTGCCTTATCCAGTCATCATCAGAAAGGCTGCCTCTAGCAGCAGATGGGAACAGATGTGGAGACCCACAGCCAGACAGTACATGGAGAAAGAGTCTAAATAGGAGGTCTCTGCTGTGGATGTCTTTCTGTATGCTGTGAATATATGTTGCTCTAATTGGTTGATAAATAAAATGATGATTGGCCAGTAGCCAGGCAGGAAGTATAGGCGGGATAAGCAAACGAAAAGAATTCTGAGAAGAGAAAGGCTGAGTCAGCAGACGCTAGCCCGCCGTCCAGGGAACAGCATGTAACGGCATACAGATAAAGCCACAGAATATGTGGCAACATATAGATTAACAAAAATGGGCTGAGTTTAAGTGTAAGAGCTAGTCAGTAGTTAGCCTGAACTAATGGCCAAGCAGTTTTAATTAACATAAGCCTCTGTGTGTTTACTTGGGTCTGAGCAGCTGTGGATTGGGAAGGACACAGAAAAACTTCTGGCTACAAATGGCGCCCAACTGCTCCAGTTTCCACCTAAAACCTGAGAATACTTAATAAGCAATTCTAAACAGAGCCAAAAACAGGTTCCTGCTTCATGTCTCATGTGGGTGGCACGAGACGTCACAACATGCGGGCTTGAGCTACTCTATGAGTTCAGTGAGTGAGTGTAGCAGT